ACACAACTACAAGAAGGCCACCGTTGCTCGTCATAGTGCCAGACCCCGAGTAACTGTATTGTAGGGCAGTGCTGGGACACAAACAATACTGAGACCTGGGTTCAATCGCCCATTCGCCCAACATAAAGCCGTTCGATTCCAACTGTTCTGGTCAGTCGAGGGTACTCTCCGACGGCAAACGCTACAATGTTTTGTCATTCGCCGAAATTGGCATCAACAGCAATTTACTCGCACTTGTTGAAAAATCGAAGGTACCAGAGGTCCAAAGGCTTTCGGGGCACTGGGAGCGGGTCATTGGTGAAGGAGGGATTTACTTAACTTGAAGCCAAAATATTACTTTTTATCTATTCTCCTCTTTGTTTTATTCGAATAAAACCATCGGCACTTTTGAATGGGATGACCTAATATTGCAGGTGAGGCAACTAGCGAAGTCGAGTGTAGCTGAACACAATCACGCGACTGAATTGCTCGAGTAACGGAGTATGAACGCGGTTGAACGCTTTGGCACTTTTTTGATATTCCACCAGCGTACGAGACAAATCTTCAGCAATTACCTGTTTCATTTAGTTTACATAATGAGTATTAAATGTCAAAGTGAATACTCATGGCTTACGTCAGATAGGTCAAATTATTTGATTTCAAAACAGGACACATCGTTGTTGGGAATTCCCCAACAGGAGGGGGAGTGGGGTCGTATTCGGTCTCTAGGAGGGGGTGGTCGTGTTTGGGCCGGAAAACATTTTATTTTGATAGCTGATTTTTCTTATTGGATGCACTAGATCGGGCAAATGCAATTGTCGATCCGGAGAACGGTCCGTTCACTGGTTACAAACTTGGTGATGAAGAAAAGAATGAAGTATTTTTGTCTGACGCAAAGGGTGGAAGATGTTATTTGCCTTCGTTGTACTGTGAGACAGGAGTAGTTATCTCACTTCTGGTTTCTGCCTGTGTGAATTGGATGAAGTTGCTGGATTTTTTCGCGCTTTTTTTCACTTTTCTGTGGTACTCCTATAACACTCCCCCCCGCGCTCGAACAGCCCATGTAGCGGAGACGGAGGGAGTAGCGGGGTCGTATCGCTCAGATCATGGCCTCCCATTCATATCATTCGAGCTGTGTCTGAAATATTTATGTTAATCGAAACCATCCCAGATTCTCTGTGCGGTTACGACCCCCCTCATCACCCTATCAATACATCAGTACCAATATTTATCACTCAAATCCTCAACCTTTGGCTCGTGCAGATGGGCTAGGTAGATGCCTTCAATTATCTTCAAATTGCAGTCTTGTAGCGTTCCCAGCTACGGGAGTAAATTCGATGCCACGAAGCGGGGGAATAGCATTCGGATGAAGTTAGTGCGATACTACTTCGAACGACCCCATTTAAGACCCCCAGCCATCGAATACGCCCACACTCTGCTTTCGCCTATTTGCTTTAACGTGAATCTCCTGACCGTTATGCAAAGTCGGTCAGGAGACGCTGGACGTTGAGTAGTCGCAGTGATACTGGCTAAGCTAGCGCGCGTTTCCATTCCATATGGATCAAGGGTCCAAAGAGCAGGTGACGTCAGAGGACCTTCTGGATGATGTGATGGAAAAATTCAATATGAATCAGTTGGACCTTGTCCGGGCCAGAATAGTGGTTGCATCACAAGTAAAACTGTCAGGCAACCGTTACTAGAAGGTCGTAATTTACATTTCCCTTTCCCGCTTATCTGTTATCTACTGTATGAGAAAGGGGTCATATCCGGAGACGGGGCTCAATTTGAAGGCCGGGAAGGGGTTCGATTTATGTGCACTGAAATTGCGTCGTCCCCATGAGCCCATTTTGATCTACAGCTGCGACAATCATTCGATACACGTTGGAGAATGTCTGCGGGATTACCTGGGCATCGTATTGACTCCTATTCGGCGCTTTTGCTGAACCTTTCCGCTCTCTGCATGAGGTGTTAGTGTACTCCTTACTGTTTTGATTTTTATTGTTATGGTTCTTTGGTATTTTTCGTTAATATTGCACAATCCCCGCAATTGCACAGAACTACTTCAACTACAGTACTAGTGATAATGAACTGCATGTAACTTTATGATGCACCATATGATTGCTGTCCTTATCGTTATCAACCACCACCCTCAACTGATGTTAGACGTTCGAAAATAAGTGGGTAGGTTCTGCAGGCAGCTCCCCAAGAGGGCACCCACGCGATGCTCTTTTACAACGTCCGAATTCCCACCTCTTGATCGCTTGAACCAACTTCAAGCTGTCATAAGACGCATCTTTCTTTGGTCATATATACCACAAGGTTTCAGCTCCTTCTGTAGATTGAGAGCCGAAATACAATTCAAAAAGTAGTTATCGTAGTACTTTTAGGTCGACCAAGATTTCCCTTTTAATGAAATAAAAATCGACACAAATCGAGAAATAAGAAGGCAGTTACACTGTTTCATAGTGCAGAAAATATTTCTGTTGAAGCAGCTCGCTAGAACGTAATGGGAATAATTGTCATTTTCTATATAAAAACTTGTGTGACAAAAAAACGCCATTATTTATGGGGCCAACCTATTAGTTATGGGGGAGACTTTGCAGCAGCTTCTGGCTTAGTCTCTTCCCGCTCACCCGACTTTTCCGCGCCTCGGTGGAGCATTATCTCTCCTTCGCCAAAAAACTATCTCTCAGCAACTTTTTCGCGTCACCATGCCCTTCATCAGACTAAGCCTTTGAGTCAGGGAACGCGAACGGGGGGGCGGGGGGAAAACTTAACGTGATCTTCTGCACCTTCCCAACTGATATAGTGCCGATATTCCAAACACTATTACTCGAGAAAGTGAAAGATAACTCGCGTATCTGCGCGAAGCCGATGGCAGTTGAAAGACTCCTTGGCACACAATCTGGAACACTCCGATTCAGTGGGAACCATCTTAGCGCCCAAGACACCGGAGACTTTTGGATCGACGGCCGGAGGGGAGCGCCCGCAAATGAATCGCAATGAAGAGTGGGTGTGCGTTCATAAAGGCGTGAGCTCGCGCGAGCACTTTTCTCGACCTCCTCAAGTTTTGACCTACCGAGAGGTCGAGGGAGGTTACCAGTAATTCTTACTCCACGCTTGAGCCTCTACAGGGTGGTCGTCCCTGCGTCACGCGTCCAAGATCAAGGTAAGCCAGCGTTCCGCCCTAGATCGATACCGTTGGTGATTTACTGGTATGTGGAAATCGTCTTGAGTATTGTTGAAATGTTTGAGCGAGCAGGTCTCGAAATGTTTTTTGACCATTTCAGGCTCTGACGAAGGCGAAGACGCCGAAACGTAGGCCTTCAATAAAGTTGCTCAATCTTGGAAAGGCTAGAAGAAATACAAGAACAATTGAAATCACCGTAATAGAGGTAAGAATTTTCGTCCAGGTCCTATGCGAATATGTAGCTCCGGCTTGAGGGATCCAATTCGAGGCACAGTACTACAGATTGGTGCGGAGGTGGTGAAGTGGTAAGAGGCAGCTTCCCACCGGGTCCGATGTCAATCCTGCAGATGAGGCTCTCAAGTCCCAACCAAAGAGTTCCATCTCAGCAAGGCGGAGCGAAGTGATATGCGACTTCCCTGGTCTAGCCAGTTGGAAACACGGGTTGCAGCTTGCTGACCCATCAACTCGTTCGTATTAGCGATATCTATTTTCCAAGCGGAGCCCGATACTATTCGAATTGGAAGTAGAATCTGCGCAGGCCGCATCCCGAAAGAGGAGCTATACTACCAGTTCTGCCCAAAAACTCTTAGCGTTCCAAGTGTTTCATGTTCCCTTCTTCCCCCTCCTCTCTCCCGGGGAATTCACACCAGCGAATCTTTTGAACCCGAATGCCGTGTATTATTCCCGAATATCTTATTCTTATTACTTCGTCACGATTGTTACTAAAGTATTATTAGACTAAAATTGATGGAATAATATTAGAGGGTAGGTTATAGCGTAGGTATGGAATATACTAGTGAGGGCCCGCCACAGACGACTTACGGCATCCATGCGCACTTCTGAAAGGTTCATCCCATTCTTAGGGAGGTTGGCCGATGCGCCGCACTGCAAGTTTCCACGACGTCGCATTTTGACCTCATGTTACACGCCCCAAACACAGCAGTAAAGAGTTTTTGTAGACCCTTCCCGAATTCCAAAACACTGATGTTCAGAGATAATGAAAACCTTAAGCCACGATACTCGACCCATCTTTGGATTCTTTGTTATTGTGGCATATGTGATTCTAGGTCGATTTTGGCCGCACGATATTTGCAGGAGCGGTACGTTTGCAGATGCCGCCTAGTGCAGGGCGGGTACTTTTATGATCTTTATCACTGGGGTCACAGAGAAGTCGTTTTGTGGGCTGTCCGCCATCGTATGCGGCTGAGAACTGAACCTAACGTCTCATTTCCATTTTGTGCTCCTCCCTATGCGCGGACTCAAAAATATTGTTGCGTTAATGTGGCAAAGTGGAAGCTCATTACTGACCTATCTTTACTCTTCTTCTTTTTCGCTTCACGGCGGACTCTTGTATTGGAGAAGAAGTTCTCGCTGAACAGCACGGAGTCAGCTGGTGTGGGCAGGCGTAAATCCCATCGAGCATTCCAATAAGGCATGCTTTTCGGCGTTAAGGCACGGTCGAGGCTCGAGACTGAGGTGCGTCATAATCAGCAGGAAACAGCCAACGTCATTAGTTACCGGTCGAGAGATCCATTTTGCGGCTATGCGCGGCAACTAGCTAGTGTCTTCTGGCTAGTCGACTCGGCCTACGAGCACCAGTACAATGGCACAGGACGCGGTTCAGCTAGGTTCTGGTGCGCATTAGGCGTCTGTTGCTTTCATCGCTTCGCCGCAAGGTGGATCTCCTGACCGTCATACAAGACTGGTCTGGAAACGTTGGAGATTGAGTAGGTCCTCAGTAGACCGACACTAACGCGTGCTCATTTGTGAGTACTCACCGTCTGACAATGTCACACAGTTGTGACGAAGCCATTGCAATTGTGAAACGTCGTGGTCCCATCACACGTCGTAGGCGCTTGAACTCGTCCAAAAGTCTCACACGGTCATCAGGTGAAATAGTACGAACTTCTTGTCGCGAAGACATGTCCACACATGGCCTTGTTACCTAACAGTGGTAGTATTTGAACATACTTTCCGCGAATAGACGGATGGGCGGGGAACTGGGTGGAGACCCACAATTGCTAGCCTTCGTTATTAGCGTGCATCTCCTGCTAACGCGGAAAGAAAAAGAGGCGCACCTGATGGGGCCTAATAGTTACTAGTCTCCGCCCATCCGAGTATCGTGGAATGTGTCTTTAAGTGTGCAGATCAAGTTCACAAAATTCTTTCATCTTACTTTGGCTACAATTCCTAGTGTTGAGAAGACGAGAAGTATTTTCAGCTGGAGCACAGGGTGGAACATCTGAAATGTTTGGATTAAGAAGAGGGTTGCTGTGGCTCAATTTCTCAATGTCCAGCGGTACGGCGCGAGCGGTCGCGTTGCGGGATTCATGTGCAGCTGCCCATACGCATCAGTTCCTTCGTCATTCTCTCATACTTCGGCAAAATTATGTCATTGTAAGCGGTTTTCTCACGTTATTAATCGATTAATTAGAGTCGTGTTTCGCGATAGTCGGATGAGCGGAGAAATAGGCGGGGTCCCACAACTTTTGTGGTCCCTCATTGGCGCGTCCCTCCCACCTAACGTGTTCGGAGGGGTGCACCGATGAGGAAGGCTCATGCGCTAGTCCCTAATCAAGTCTCCGCCATCTCTTTATTGCGGAATATGCATTGAGTAGAGAACAATCCTTGGTCTTTGCGACTTGGCAAGAATCGACCCAGCTATGTAACTGCCCTGCCCATAAGTTTGATAGCAAGGTCGTTTTATACCTGTGAAAACATTTGGCCTCGTTTTACCCAAGAGCTCCTACATTAAAAACCGAGTCTATAGGAAACCGTACCTAAGAGAAACCGAACTGTGGGAGCTATAGGACCGGGTTTAGACCGATTTAACTACAAGGTTGCCGCAGTGAGGCTCTCCAGCTCCCCAGGACGATTCGGTTGAGATTGAGAGGATGCCACAAGCAAGCTTGCAGTTTCATTGTCTGTACCGCCGCGACAAAAGAGCAACTTCACCTAGTAGTGTAAACAGACACAGTTACTTTGGCTCAGCGGCGCTGCTCTCGTGGCTTATTGCTTAATCATAAGCAGAGCGTTCAAAGAAACGGAGGCCATATCTATAAATGAAAGACACAAACGTTATCAGAGAAGTTGCTAGCAGAGCTGTTGGCCGAATAATTGAGCCCAGATGTTTTGGTTGGGAAGAAATCAGAAACAGACCCGAGATGTTCGTTCACAAAATTATTATAGCTTTTCAACGAAAAAGCATGAAATTTTATGAGGTAAGTGAAGTGGAATGCGAGAGAACAGCCACGAAAAAGTTCTTGGTGGAAACTGGGAATGCGAGAGAACAGCACGAAAAAGTTCTGAATGTCTGCTACGGCACTCTCATCCATCGGATCCACGGTGGGGGATGATCGTAGAGGGGAGGGGGCATCAGTGGAGGGGGAGTCGAAAAGAAGAAAATAATTGTTTGGGCGCAACTTCTAGAATACTTCCATGATGTTGTGGAGGTTGTGAAATTAACTGTGAGAGTTCGGTGGTGTTGGTTTGCGGGGGAGCGGGGGGGGGGAGGGCGAACGTAGAGATGGCGTGTAAGGTGAGTGATTACTACAAATATTAGCAGTCTGATGCCCCTCAGTGTCCTGTGCTCGTTTACGAATTGTACTCTTAGCTTCATCGTGGTCGTGGTGGGTATCATGGGTTAGTTCCCTATCAGCGAAATGACCATACCGAAACGTGATCTGTCTTTTCCTAGTGATGACCCACATGGAACAAGTTACAAGGTTCATCACTGCCACGGAAGAAATGGCGATATCAGTGAGATCTCTCCTCCTATCCCATCCTCCCCTCCGCCCTCCTCACCCCTCTCGGAAGTTTCTCCTTCTTCTACGACACTCTTACAGCCTACCTACACCTTACCGAGCTCTTCCAGTTCCCTAACATCCTCGATTTTTTTCCAGAGGGCTAGTGTCGAGCGCGGCAGCTGCACTTCATATCCGATGAAATGCGTCAGGTGTGGCTGCGCACTTCATATAAACGTGGCGGCGTCCAAATAATTGCGTATTTGGTGAGATATTTCATTGGGGCAACTGTAATCATGGCTGCGATCAATACAGATGATGACAGATAAGATAATAGTTGTCTCGAATCGGAAGATTCCGCAAGTCCCATGCTAAGCCAAGAACGAATGGAATACGCAGCTTGCTCGGGAGACGGGCAAAACAGTCTGGTAGGGCACATCATTAGTTGGGGGATTTTGGCCTTGTCCGTACGAACCCTGGGAGTGGTATGACCCCCTG